TTCCAAGGGTAACCAGGGTGTATCTTTTACGTACGCCCATTAAAAACTGGGGTGACTACCTTCGACCCCCATCCTTTTGTTTTTGACTGTTAAAGAATGTTACGATTTATTTTTACACTTCCTATACTAGTAGGTTTTGTACAAAAACTCCTTATACTTTACTATTTTTAAATTATATGTTCTTTGAGTTTCTTTGGTGGTGTGGTCCAGTTTTCTGGCAGTGCAAATACTTGTAGATTCCAATTTTGCGTTATGTACAGACTAACTCGTGGTATTAGATCATGTCATGTCTGTAAGTCCCAACGAATACTCGTTCTACCACTGTTGAGTAAGTAGAAACCCTTGGAGGTCCTCCTTCTCCTGTCGTAGGAGGGGCGGTGGTATCGAAGACTCAGGTTACGAACAAGTGCCGACCTTGTCGTTCTTTATGGTAGTCTCCTCACGAAATATTACTCTAATCTGTTTGTTTATTTTGTTCTTGTCTACTAGTTTATCATTTGTAAAAATTTGTTTCCTATCGTATCGGACTCGTTACCGTGTTTTTCATTCTTTACCGAGTAATGTAGGGCCAAGTCGGTAAGCACACCTTGTAGAAGTGTTGACTCTAACACGGAAAAGAATGAAACAAAAAACAAACAAGTCACATTACCCACTAGGGTCTATCGGTTAAGTCACCACATCACGCTCCTACGCATATTTACAATAACGTCCACACTACACCTTATTTCTCACGTGGAAGTAGCTAGTACTTAGAGGACACCTCAGGGAAGGAAGAGGCGTCGGACAGTAGGACTTTTCGGTCGCTACTCTACGTCTGTAGTAAGGGGGGGCGGTCGGGAGTATGGCTTGCGTCAGGGGAAAGGTCTTCTTGCGTGTATTGTGACTACAGCCGGACCCTTGTGTCATTCTATTCCTCTATGAGTAATATCTTGTACGTATTGTTTCACTTATAATCTTATGTAACGTTGATACCCAATTTGCTTGCTTTTAACTGTGTTTACTATTTGACTGGGGTAATTAGAGGCTCAGGGAGATTACGACCCTGCATCTACAGTAAACTCTTCGTATTTCGCATGCCTCGATGTCGCTTCCGTCCTTTACGTGTCTTTACTATTTTCTTAGTACCAATTATGAAAGATCCACGTTTTAATCCGACGTCTACCTTTACTCGATAATGTTTAGACCGTACTAATTAGAGAAGAGAAAATGACTCTAATTACATAACACAGTAACAGGAACATACTTTTTTATGTATTATAGGTAAGGTTTACTTTCGATGAATTTTGACCCTTTTGTTTAGATTCGTAATATACATGTCTTCCTCTCGTACCCATATGGACCACCACAAAGACGGGTCACCGCGGGCGGGAGAGACTTGCGTCTTCCCCCGTCTAGGAATGTTGTCGGGACAGTCCTCCAGACTTACACACACGCGGTACCGTGGTCAGTAAAAACGGTCGGAAAACCACCCTTAGGGCGAGACCTATAAATTAGTTGTTTAAGTTTCAATTACTCTTTTAACCCATTTAAAGTTGTGTTGTTGTGTGTCTGTGTGGTGTGCTTATATCATATCGCGTTACATGTCGCTTATTACTGTCGGGACTCAAAATCGGTAAATTGAGAGTCGTGGGAAACAAACTACATTACCTAATCTATTTGAAGTACTTTGTGGTTAGTTGTATTAGGACGTTTAATAGTGTCCTAAAAAACTGACTATAAATTTGTTAGTGGCACTTTTGACGCGGTCAGTTCCGCGTCGATAAAGTTCTCGCAACTAAATTTGTGTTTAGTTCATAGTCCATCCCTTTTATTGCTAAAATTTACTCCCGGATGGAACCCGAAAAGAGACTCGAAGAGTAACCTCCTCACTCTGCTCTCAGCCTCACCCCGGGGCGGACGAAGAACACCTCTCATCCTCCGCCATTCTGTAGCTAGAGACTCTATTAGACCGTTGTGTGTTTTTCTTGTCCAATGTAGTACCATCTGTCAAGACTTAAAGTCTGTCCTCTCAGGAAACCCCCAATACTAGCGAGTACAAGTCCTTATTTACTGTTTTCTTAATAAGATTTTGTATTGATTCTCTACACAGGTAGCTACGTGAACATAGTCAAACATTTAATACCTGTTGCTGTCAGGAATACATTCACTGTGGAACACACAGACGACATCACAAGTGACACCTCTCAGGAAGATGATTTTACACAGCAAGATCTGATACCTGTCAGTATAATAATAATAATACATTATATTTTTATAGGGCTTTTCAAGGACTCAAAATCGCTTTACAATATAAGGGAAGGTTAGGGTGGGGGGTATAGGACTATCAAACTTGATCAACTGGCATGGATTGATGGGGGGTGGGCTACGAGTAGACAGAGGAGAAGAGATGAGTTTTAAAAAGGGACTGGAATACTGTGAGGATCTCAGAATAGCGGATATCTTTGCATCAATATGTTCAAAACGTTTTTTTTCAAAATGTAAAAAAAATAATTATAAAATTATAAATAATGAAAAATTAAATCTAAAATATTTCTAGTGTGAACCAAAATATAATACTAAATATTATACAAGTGATTTTTCTTAACCAAAATGACAAAAATGGCATAAAAACACACATTATTCTAATACGGGTCCTTTTTGACCCACTTATGGAAGAGTGTAGGGTCCAGTCACTCGTGCATCTAAGGTTAATAACATTGATACAAAACTGAGGATCAATAAAGCACCACATTCAGCAAAACTAAAGATGGAATTGATTTACAGACGTAGGTAGTTGTTGGAATAGTAATGGGCCCATGATTGGGCCCATGATTGAGCCCTGAGGAACACCAAATAGTGTTTAGTCTAATTTTGGGTCTTTGGTATAAGGATCATGGTGATTGACACTCAGTGAGCTGGTAGACCCAGAATGACAGGAGTGTTTTTTTCTGTTTTAGTTTACAAGGACATTTTGGCATCTGGCAGAGGTGACTCGTTTTTCATCAGGACTCACTTTGAGTACGAGAAGGAGGCTCCTCAGAGTCTTCCTTTCACCAGAGGAGAGATCTTCAAAGTGACGGACACACTTTATGATGGCAAGCTGGGCAACTGGCTGGCAATCCGCTCTGACAAAGACAACCAGCTGCGGGAGAAAGGAATCATCCCCAACAAAAGCAGGTGAGTGAAGGGGTCGTGGTTGTGGTGGTTATGTATGGGGTTGAGTATTTTCTAAATGAACTGGCTTAATATGTGATGTAAGAGTTGGCGATGCTAGTACAAATCGTGGAGCAACTGGAAACAACTGAATCTTCTCAGTAGAATTACAGTCCGGTATTCAAAGGCAAGCAATTAATGAAAAAGTATATGAGAGCCATTGTAGGTAAAAAAAAACAGACGGGTAATATTTAACACAAAAAAAACACAGAATATCTAAGACTCAGATAGTTAATAAAGGAGACACAAATCAAAACTAATCTAAGATTTGTTAAAATAACAAAATCTTGGAAGTTGTGAGGAAAATCTCCCTCAAAAATAATGTCAAACATTTGAGGGGAAAAAAATCTGGACATTTGTGGAATTTTATCTGTTTTTTTAATAAAACAACATCAGTCCACATCACTTCCACTTGATCAACCTCATCACACTCATCAATTCATGACTTATTATCTTATAACTTTTCATACACTTGAGAGTTTTTACTACTCCAATCTTGGTAATTCCACATTTTTCCTCAGATTATTACCTTCATCCCCTACTGTTAATAAACATGACTCTGACTGAATCTCCTTTTGTATTTTCTATCACAGAGCCGAGCAAATGTCCAACGTGCAGAACGCAGCTCGGGTCGCATCCGGCAACGACAGAGGAGACTTCTGGAGGCTAAGAGGCCAAAGGGCGGCGAAGAAGAAAGACCTACGCAAGAGCCGAGAAGACCTCACCGCTGTTCCAGTCACCACAAAATTCCCTGCATACGAGAGGGTGGTCTTACGTGAAGGTACCTAAAAGATCCACTGGTCACTTTGCAGTTTTATATACGATATGTTGTTTTTCCTTTTGACATGGGACTAATCCTGTTAAATGTTTTTTTAGCTGGTTTCAGGAGACCTGTGGTGATATTTGGACCTATTTCCGATGCAGTGAATGAAAAACTAAGCACAGACATGCCAGACGAGTTTGTCATCGCCAGTAAGTGCTAACCTAAGTGCGGCACAGTGTTCAATAACATATTCAAAGTATTCAAAGTTGACTGATGTTATGAATATCTTTTTTCATCTCAGAAACGGAGCCCAAAGACGCAGGGAGTGAGAAATCCTCTGGGGTAGTGAGACTCAACACAATCCGAAAAATCATTGAACAGGTAAAGCACTAGAATAAAAATGGCCGATTCCTAAATATACCGTTAGATCGATTATGTAACCACTTCTCTGTCTCCTCAGGACCTTCACGCTCTGCTGGATGTGACTCCCAAAGCTGTGGACACACTGAACTACACTCAGTGGTATCCCATCGTCCTCTTCCTCAACCCGGACAGCAAGCATGGCGTGAAGACGATGAGGAACCGCCTCCTGCCCGGATCCACCCGCAGCGCACGCAAACTGTACGAGCAGTCTGTCAAACTGAGGAAGACCTGCTCGCACCTCTTCACTTGTACGTTCTACGATGAAATTAGCTCTTACTCTGCAGAATAAGTTGTAAATGTAGTTGAAGCTAGTACACAGCATGTTGAAATGTAACAAAATATTCTGCCTATATCCATATTTGTTGGCATCATGAACAACTTGTTCAGTGCTGTCTAAAAAAAGTGCACACCAACTTGCAGCACACAAAGAGAGGGACAAGAGCACATTTATTCAAAAACAACTAAGTTATTTAATCTAATAAATCACTTTGTGAGTTAGGACATCATAAAAAATGACAACAGACATTTAAAGCTTTATTGAAACACCAAAAAAGCAGCTCTGATCTCAAAATATGACCTTTGGAAGATCCCTATTTCCCGGGAATATTGCCAATAATTCTATATTCTTTTTTGGTTCTTTGCGCAGGACAATGTGTAGATTGTGAAAATTATATGTTTTTTCTTATCTCAGTATGAGGTTACATTTTCTTTTATCTAAGAAGAGCAAAAACTTCAATCCTAGAAATCATTGGGTACAGAAAAAATGTAAAACAAGGTGTGACAAAAATAGAATTGGTTCTTATATTGTTTTCCCATGATGCTCGCTGTTGTTGGTTCTTTGCCTCACTTATATTTTATTTGTTTTGTTTGTGTGCACATTCAGCGACTGTGGAGCTGAACCCTTCCAATGACGCGTGGTACGGCAGCGTGAAAGACTCCATCCAGGTGCAGCAGGACCGAGCAGTGTGGGTGTGTGAGGGCAAGGTGAGTCGGTTTACAAATACATTTCATGAGCTCTAAGAATAGACTCTGATAATTCACTTTTGAGTAATAATACATAAAATGTTAAGTCAAATCAACTTTATTGTCAATCTTTCAATTTGTGTGTACAGACGGAGAGATCGAAATGCCATTTCCCACAGTCCCGAATTCAAAAACAAATACCGTAATTTTCGGACTATAAGCCGCACCTGAATATAAGCCGCAGCAGCGGCATACCACTCTCGGTTCCACTTTTACTTTTGCGCGCTACCTGTCTCACTCTTTTCCGGCCTCCAGCTTTTCCTGCTGGAACCCGCCGCTTAAAGGTGGGGGTCCGCGGACCGGCCATAGAGCCCATAGAGTTAAAGGTGTTGGCCGTTAGCTGTAAAAATCCATAGATTAGCCGCACCGTTATATAAGCCGCAGCTTATAAACGGTTTTAGTTTTTTGTCATACGAGAATATATAATGGGGGCATGTAAAAGGCCTATATTTCGGGGCGGGGGGCCCGCGCCAAAAAGGTTAGGAANGAAGACTCTGGTATAAAGGAACATTCACAAGCTTTCAGGCAGGGACAGTTTATCATCAGTAGTATTACACAATTGTATACCTTTAGAACATTGCAGTTCTCATTAGAACTGCAATGTTCTAAAGGTATACAATTGTGTAATACTACTGATGATAAACTGTCCCTGCCTGAAAGCTTGTGAATGTTCCTTTATACCAGAGTCTTCAGTTTGCCAAGTCAGGAAATGGCCATGCTGTTTTGATGAGACAAACATCCATAGAAATTCTGCATTTCTGCAGGGTGTTAATTTGTCATGCCTCGTCACAACATGCACAAAGTATAAGAGGACTTCCAATCTCCTGCTGGCTCCTGGGGGTCATTATGAAGGGGAGAAATCACAGCAATATAGACAGGGAGAATGAGAAGGATTCCTGCATTAAGTGGATGAGGCCCTCCCCACTACAGGATTTGGGTTACACTAAAGCCTACTACACATATGGAGCTCTTTGTCCCACATTCCCTCAGCTTTTCTATGACAAAAAACCCTAACTGTGTCAGCTAAAAGCAATGTCAATTATAGGATCCTCTTATAGGACCACGTGGCTCTCAGTGTCAGAAAATGCTCTCGCTGATGTCCAATGGTCTTTGTCGTTTCTGTTGTTCCAAACATTTTCAATAAACTGTAACGCTCATCAGTTTTCCTGAGTCGAAGAGTCAATTAACTGGGCTGGAAACATTTTCTCTGCTACAACAGTAAAGATGGACCATAAAAAATGTATACTGCGTTCTTTAACTCATCCTGATTCTAGTGCAGCACAATATCTCCATCTTTTCTAAGTAATAGTGAGCCCTGGATGTCTCGCTGACACTGGACTCCATGCTCCTGGGTTTCTGTGGACTCGACACTTTCCAAAGATAACACGGGCCAAAGATTTCCACTCACGGGCAGGCTGAGGCCCTGCTGAGGCAGCCTGCCTGATGGGGAACAGACGAAAAAGAGCTGGCTCAAGAATATAGTAAGATCCATAGCACTGTACTATGGGATATGCCTTCAAGGTCTATAGTTAGTTACTATAGATGAGAGAAACAGGGACCAGCCATGTGTGAGGCATGTGTTCTTTGAATGCACTCACGGGATACAGAACCAGACACAGGATGCTCAGCGGGCTTGATAACATGATACCAAAGGTGAATAATGACAAGGAAGTCATCAAATACAAAAAGGCAAAAGCGAGTTAATTTCCTTGTCTTACTATAACTCTTCACTAATTGCTCCAGTTTCTCAATAACTCCTTGTTTCATGGCTGTGATATATTGTCACTTTTCTATTATTCAGAGGTAAATTGAGATTTCCAGGAAAGGCTTGTCCCATTGAGCGCCTGGAAAGCCCGGGCCTGGCCGTGTGCACAGTCATACACCACATGACGTCTTAGCAGGGGAACATTCCTCCATTACTTTTTTTCTCCCTCTAAAACCATCTTTCTCAATTTAGAAACGGGGGGCACAAAGAGTGGTTTCGCGCAAAAAATACGAGGCAGCAAATTAACGCAGAATTAAGCCATAAAAAACCTGACATATGTGAAATGTCCCAGACTGGGAATGAAATATCATTTCTCCTATCCAGGAACTTTCCACAGGAAGAAATACACAAGACTGAATTCCACTTAACCTCTTTCTTCTGTGGGCCAAAGAAAAATAGACTAAAGAATGGTTGAAAGTTTTACCTTTGCCAAACATTACCGTTACCTAGCAGAATCTCTTTAAAAGGAGCAGGTATCTAGAGTATGTCTAAATGGTAATGTCTTGGAAGGAAGTAAACACAACTCGTGCCAAACAGTCTGTTTAAAATACTTTCTTTCCAGCTATGCCCTTGTAAACACCAAAGAAGAAGGCGGAGGACTGGAATTACGTTATGGCTACAGCATTCAATGTAGCTTACAGGAGCTGGGATTGTGTCTCTTCTCCATTAATCATTTAATAGTGACAGGAGGTGGTCCTTTCGTCACTCTGTCCACCCCCGCCGTCTGACCTCAGGGGTGACAGCTTCCCTCAAGCGTCAACCCAAACAAAAAAGTGGTGCAGCCAGCTCCCATAGCCGGAGCTAGAGAGGTCAAACAGGCCTGTGCCAAACCAGCTCTTTCATCCTATAGCATTTACAGAATCAGCATCCTAGAACACAGGCATCAAAAGACACAGAGAGAGAGGCTGCTTTGAATAAGAAATCTTTTTGTGTTACATTGTTTATTGACCTAGCCAAAGCATTTGACACTGTAGATTAACACATTCTGTCTAATGTTATGTTGGTGTTTTGTTTCGGTCATAATGCCATTTGCTGGATTCAGAGTTATCTAACCGACCTTACTCAAAGCTTCAGGTTGGGTAGTACTGTCTCTGAGCCTGTCACCTTGGAGAAGGGAGTTCCACAGGACTCTATTTTGGGGCCCTTGCTCTTTTTATTATATATAAACACTATTTGTAATCAGATGCAATTTTCTACCTATCATATGTATGCTGATGACACTATTGTATACTCATGTGATCCTTCTCTGGATATGGCCGTTTCCAATTTAAAATCAGATTTTACCACGCTGCAGCATGCGCTTCTTGATTCCAAACTGCTATTGAACGGTAAGAAAACCAAAGCAATGCTTTTTGCTCCCAAGTCAGCTTCCTCTTGCCTCTCCATTGACACCCTCTGTTGAGTTTCTCGATACATAAAAATATCTGGGTTTTTGGTCTGACAGAAATCTAAACTTTAAACACCACATTGAAGTTCTTACTAAGAAATTGAAATTCACTCTTTGTTTCCTTTACATACTTACAGTAAAGGTTGTTTTTCAACTTCTTCCCGTAAAAGGTTGGTCTCTGGCTTATTCCTGTCCCAGCTGGACTACGGTGATACCATTTATAGATTTGCCTGTCCCACTGTTTTGGCCAAACTTGACCCACTCTACCATGCTGCACTGCATTATATATCAAATGCACCCTATAGGACTCATCATTGCAAACTGTATAGCCTAACTGGATGGTCCTCACTTAGTATGCGTAGGATGCAGCATTGGTTTTTATTATTGTATACAGCCATTTTAGGTAAGCTTCCACTGTACATATGTGCCAGATCTGCTCCAGTTTGTGACTCTTACAACCTTAGAACCAGTGCCTGGATACGGTTCCAGGTACCTGCTGTGCGGACTGAGGCTGGGAAAAGGAGACTTTTTTATTATGATCCTTGGTCTTGGAATGACCTTCAATCAAGCCTCAAACTGATGGCACCTGTCCCAATTGCCTGTTTTAAAATTGAATTTGTCTG